GATGAAAATATTGATTTTGTAAATTTTCTCATATTTTTTCAATTTTGTCATATTTTTGGCATATTTTCATTTTGAATTAAACATTTGGTAATATTTCTACAGCTAACAAAACTAAGTAGTTAGGATATCAGGATATCATATACAGATCGCATTTATGGCCCGATCCTAACAAAATTTTGCATGGGGATCAGATGAGGGTAAGAATAGAAGCCTACTCTTTTTGGAGATGATCGCAAAATATTTAGGGGTTGAAATGGACCAAAAAACTGCAAAATTGTCAGCAGGTCGCAATTATCGCCCGAACCTCACGCACATTTGAATGGGGTTTACCGGACATTGCAAAAGTCAAGCAGTTTTGGATGGCCATCCAAAAATATTCAATGTATGAAATAGTTTGCCAACTTTTGTAGACAAAATACGAAAAAGTCCATTCCAGTGACTTTTTGGAGAATTCACAAATACAGGAAAGACGCACTTTTCGTTAACGCTGATTTCGTTGAAGAATATAGTCAAATGTCTGTATCTCATATAGATGCGTTTCAGTCAAAAACCAATAATAAATGTTCATAATTTACCACTTCTGAGAGATTATAGTTCTTTGGGAAATATTGGTTCCAGATCTAGGAAGACCATTTACGTGCAACATCTACCAATAAATTGGAAATGAGCAAATTAGTTAAAGTTGCTATTATTCGAAAATTAGAGAACAAAACCTGATGGTTTTCTTTTATTATTTGTCACAATATCTTGTGGAATTCTTTCGAGTATCTCACCTATATAAACTGTATCGTTTATTATAGTGTTGTAGGGTATTCAACGGTCGGCCCCGCTCGACTGTAGCCTTTGCTTACTTGTTTGGTAAATTGCATTACCAAGAAATATCAGAGATTCTGAACTCTTATTTTTTGTCTCCGAAGGACGATTTGAGATCAGTAAACCATAAAAGGGGCACGTATGGAAGACATAATTAGTTGCATTTAAGACTTATACTTAGAAAAATTTAAAGTCAACATTAAAGTAGTTCTGAGGGTATTTGAGGTCGTTTTTCTAACGGAAAATAATATTTTTGAAGAAAAAGAACAGGGATGGTGTCCATTGGTTGGAAATTGAGTTTTCAAATCTTTAAATGGAAGACTTTCTGGTCTTCTATGAGATGTCTCATGGCCTAATATAAGAAAATCTTCTAAAAGTATCTCCTTCTAGTCCCTTAAAAGAAGACCTTCTGGTCCTCTATGAAAATACCCTTTTCTCGTCTCCAATGAGAAGACCTTCTTCAGGTCTTCTATAAAAAGACCTTCTTCAGGTCTTCTCTAAGAAGACTTTCTTCAGGTCTTCTATAAAAAGACCTTCTTCAGGTCTTCTCTAAGAAGAAGTTCTTCAGGCTTTCTATAAGAAGACCTTCTTCAGGTATTCTATAAGAAGACCTACTTCAGGCTTCTATAAGAAGACCTTCTTCAGGCTTTCTATCAGAAGACGTTCTTTAGGTCTTCTATTACAAGACCTTCTTCAGGTCTTCTATTACAAGACCTTCATCAGGTCTTCTATTACAAGACCTTCTTCAGGTATTGAGAATACATTCTTCAGGCCTTATATTAGAAGACCTTCTTCAGGTCTTAAGAAGACCTTCTTCAGGTCTTGAGAAGACCTTTTTCTGGGCTGTGATATGACCTTCGCTTAATCAATGAGAAGACCTTCCCGTCTTCTTCTGGTTTTCTCTAAGAAGATTTTATTTTTCTCGCTTTCTCTAAGAAGACCTTCTTTTGATCTTCTTTGAGAAGACTATCTCGTCTTCTAAGAGGATCCCTTCTCGTCTTCTATGAGAAGAACGTCTTATCTTGTAAGAAAAGACCATATTCTCTTCTGTGAGAAGACCTTCTTGTCTTCTGTGAGAAAACCATTTGGCCTTCACTAAACAAACTACTGACCGTCTGCGACAAGACCTTCTGGTCTTCCATGGGGAAAAAGGATACATTTTAAGAATATATTTCATGGACCATCAGACCACTAAAGGTGGATTTTTATACCCTCCACCAAAAAAAATAGTATGGAGGGTATATTAAGTTCGACATTCCGTTTGTAGCTCATCGAAATAATAATTTTTGACCCAACCAAGTATATATACTCTTGATAAGCGTAAAATTCTAAGACGATTTAGCCCTGTCAGTCCATCCGTCTGTCCGTCTAGGGAAATCACGCTAGAGTCAAAACGAATTAACAAGGGAAGCTAAATTTTTCCACAGATCAGCCGTTTGTGTGGGGGCAGGTCAAGTTCGCAGATGGGCTATATCGGTCCACGATATCGAATGGCCCCCACATATTCCGATATTCTGTATTTTGATGATTTTAGGCACGTATTTGTCTATATAGGTCCACGATATCGTATAACCCCCATATAACGGTATCTCCCGATATTCGGTATGTTCATGTTTTTTGTCACATTTTTCAATGGAATTGTCTGAAATTCTACACAAGGAGTTCTCTGTGAGTACTTTACCCACTGATAGTGAATTGTCTATATGGGTCCACGATATCGTATAACCCCCATATAACAGTACCCCACGATATTCAGTATTTTCATGATTTTGGGCAAATGTTTTTTTTTTTTTTTTTTGAAATTCTACACAAGGATTTCTCTCTGAGTACTTTACTTACTGAAAGAGAATTGTCTTGTTAGGTCCACGATATCGTAAAGTCCCCATACAATGGTGCCCCCGATATTCGTTATTTTGATATTTTTGTCAAATTTTTTTTAATGGAATTGTCTGAAATTCTATACAAGGAGTTCTCTCTGAGTACTTTACCCCTGGAAGAGAATTGTCTCTATAGGTCTACGTTTTGGTATAGCACATAACGCTACCCAGAGATATTTGGTCTTTCCAGGATTTCGCGACACCTAAATTGCGTCAAATTTCGTATTTGAAGTTCGTAATGGGCACTACTATCTATGACGGAAAATTATCTATGCAGCCCCACGTCTTCGTTTAGCCCCCATACAAAGGCACCTCCCTTTATTCGGTATTTTGATGATATTCGCGACATTATTCACAGCCTATGATAGAAAACTACATATTCAGCACCACGCCTTCGTATAGCCCATATTCGACGGACCCATGACTCTTTGGGCCCATTCCAATCGTCGTATAGACCTTAATATACGGCTACATTCGGTATTTTTAAGATTTTAACAGATTTTTTTTTTTTGAAAATTGTTAAATTTTTACCAAATGGTGGAGGGTATTGAAAGTTCGGCCCGGCATAACTTACAGTTTTTACTTATTTAAATATTAGATGAAGTGGAATACTTCGGTTTACCATATCTGGTAGGTAATGTGAAGGTCAACAAAGTTGGCGATATAGGTTAAATCTGGCGCATTTATATTAGATTTATTTCAGATATGAAATGGACAACATGGACCCACTCCTTTGGAATCTCCCCCACAAAGGCTCAACAGTTTGAATAATCATAACGCAAGTCTAAATATATTTAAATAAACGAACAGTGGTGGAGGGTTGCCCATATTCGACGGACATTTGAGCCCTTTGGGCCCATTCCAATCGACGAGGCTTTTCCGCAGGCAACATTCTTTGCTTCAATTGAATTTTGTACGGGAACAAATGCAAATCAATGCGAATAATCCGTTGTAAAGTGGACCGAGCCATGCCCAACTGCTGAGAACGGCGTTTTTGGGATGTTCTTGGGGACCTCTCAACACTGGCTCGTACGGCAGCGATATTCTCGGCCGATCGCCTTGGTTGACTTTTATATGGCCTCTTCGGATTAGAAAGAGCCTTACCAGTCGAAAATTTTTCGTATAAACGCTTAATGGTGTTCTTAGAAGGCGCACTTCTCATTTTTTTTAATGTTTTATAAGCACGTAGAGTTTTCACAATTGACTTCTTCTGTTGAATGTAAATTTCAACTATTTCGCGTGGCGTGTATTGGTTCATGGTAAAAATCTGCTTGGATTGACGCTTCAAACGCGCTATGTTATAAAGCGAAGTGACATCTCTGTCAAAAGTTATGGCGTTGCCAGATGGGTCCGTCGAATATGGACAACCCTGTACAGGTTTTTATTTTTCAACGGATTTTTTTTTTTTTAATTTTTCAAGTTCCTTCCGAAGGAGGGTATAAAAAGTTCGGCCCGGCCGAACTTAGCTGCTTTTTTACTTGTTTAATAATATTTTTGTTATTGAACAACAAACTTCTACATATTTTTTAAGAAATGTTCTTCAAAGACTCCCAATTAATACATAGAACAGGGCTTCTGTATGTCTTAGATAGCCACAGGTCGGAATTGTTCTTCTAAAAATTCCTTAAAAGTTTACTATTGATAGAGATCTTTAAGGAGGCGTTCTGTAGAGAGTCGAACTTCAAGAGCTTATAAATGAAAAATTTATTCAAATATTTTTAATTGGAATACCCAAAAGGAATTCTTTAGAACTAATGTATCGAAAGAGGATTTCTATCAAGAAAACCCCTTGAAGGGGAAACTTTAAAATCCATGAATGTTGATTTTCTTTACTTTAAAGAAAAAAGAAGAAGAAGAAAGGTTTACCGTGGGCAAAAGACCTTTTTAAGCTTTATATTGATGTTTCTAGAGAGTAGAGTGACTGATTCCTGATTTATCAACGCCCAGTTGAAGGGTCTTTAAATAAATTTCTGAATTTATCATAATTTATTTCTTCACCAAGGCCTTCATTTTTGTTCTATAAAAATTGGAAAAAAAACTTTTTTTAAAAAGGCAGATATTCCACATAAAACATTTTATAAAGTAAAAATGTTTCATTTCTTATTTTCATACAACAAAAATCCAGCGCTAGGACTTTAAAATTTATACACAACCCTTTCAATGCTTCATTAAACCCTCCAAAATAATTTAATTCCCCCTCATATAATTTAAATCATTTTCACCCATTAAGTCAGACAAATTTATAAAACTTCTAATACCACAACTAAAATATTTCTTTCTTCCCCCCACCAACCGCCTCGAAACTTCCAGTTGGATGCCGATACTCTCGAAATTAAATACAACTTTAACATCACTTTGGATCATCGCAAGTTCGGCGAGATGTTCATTGTTTGCGGTCATTTGTATGCCATTGACTCGTGCACGGCCAAGAACTCTCAGATACGCTATGCCATCAACCTGTACCAGAATAAGCTGTTGAATGTGAATTTGCCGTTTACAAATCCTTTTGGCAGTACGGAGACGGTTGGCTACAATCCTTACACGGTGGTAAGTGCAAAATCAAAAACAACAACAACAGCAATAGCAAAAAAGTTTATTGGCTGTGCGGCACGTAACTTTTGAAGTTTTGTATAGATGTATGTATGTATGTGTGTGTATTAGTATTTGTATTTGGGCTATTGGCGATGTTACGCTGCTGCTGCTGCAAAACTAAAATCTGTTTTGGATTCAGGCCATAAGTTCAAACTTTCGAGTGAAATTCTTTGAATTGCATTTCCAAAATTGTTTATGTTTTGAAGATAAATCCCAGTGTTAGGCCATTACTTGGCTTTATGACGTGCGTAAATTGGATTGCGGCGGATTGTGTGAAGATTTAGGAATTGAAAGTTTTGTTTTGGAAATTACATAAATATATGTAAGTGAATTTGAATTAAGGGGGGGATGTTTTTAAAGACATGATTTATAATATTTATAAATATAAACTTACCAGAATTCAAACGGCATTAAATTTATGGAAGTAAATCTGAAAAATGAAAACATAGTGTTTAATATATAAAACACACAATAAAAAAAAAATTATAATGAATAAATAAATAAATTAAATAATAAAAATAAACTGATCTGGTATTAAAAGAAAAGACAAGATTCTTCCTATTGTACCGTGGTTTTCTCAGTCGCTGCCACGGTATCCTAAGGACCCATTAAAATATACCTTATGAAATGAAAAGGGTAGAATTCTCCCTTTCCTGAGGAGTAAAATTAGGGTGTTTTATTGATTTAAATACTAAATTACAATCTCTTCGAGGTTAAATTCGATAATATGGCGAATTGCGTTCGGGAGTTGTGCCAATCTAGTCCTGTGGACTCCAGTCGTTTTGTATGAAAGTTATGCGTATGAGTGCTATGAACTATTTTAACTATCTGAAATAACTCATATGCAGAGGAATCGGTGTATTGAACTATGAACTAGATTGACACAACGACTCCATTCAATTTACGGTTTTTCAGGTGAAGTGGATGAAGTGGATCGGGAAAACGATGTTCACGAAGATTGGTCATATTAAAGACTCGGTTTCTTGACGATTTATAGCGGATCGGGAATTATGATCCAGGAGTACAACGTTTGAATTGTAGACAGACATCGGGTGTTCCGGAATTGTGATGATGCTGTTCAAATTGTAGATTTGAAGATTTAAAGATAATTCTGGAACTCTGATGAATGAAAGTCGGATGTTCGGGGATTACGATGATGGTATTTGGGATGTCGACGATGGGAAGATGATCGTGAACTCTGATGAATGGTCGTCGGATGTCCGGCGATTAAGAGAATGATCTTTGGGTTGTAGACAATTTGAAGATAATCGGGATCTCTGATGGATGGACGTAGGTTGTCCGGGGATTCCAATGATGGTGTAAAAATTGTAGACGATTTAAAGACGGTTCGGGAACTATGATGAATGAACGTCGGATTTCCGATGATAATGCAGGCGATGAAAGGTATACAGGAACTCTGATTAATGGACGTCGGGTATTCGGGTGTTGTGATGATTATGTACGGGTCGTTGACGATAATCGGCAATTTTGATGAATGGACGTCGGCGACCACGATGTTCCAATGATAGATGATATAACGATAATTGAGAACTCTGGTGGGTCGGAAACCACGATGTTGGGAAGATCCGGGGGGCCATAATTTTCCGCCCCCAGATGATTCGAGGATAATCGGGAATTCTGTTGAACGGGTTTCGGGGATCGCGATGTTCGGATTTCAGATGATCCAAATATACACGAGAATTCTGGTGAACGGTCTTCGAGAACCAAGATGATAATTTCGCTGCTCGGATTATAATCTGAAACTCTGGTTAATAGCATTCGGCTCACATGTGTTCCACGATGATGATGATCCGGTTGTAGCCGATTTCGTTGCTCGGTTTGAAATCGGGAACTCTGGTGAATGCCATTCAACTTTCGACGATGATATGGCTCGGGTTGCATACTATTTCGTCACCCTGGTTGTAATCGGGACTCTGGACCAAACGGCGTTTGGCTCACAGGGGTTCTGCAATATAGAGAGTCCGAAGCTTTTGTGAGACAGTGAGTCCGAAAATTAGTTGAGACAGGTACGCTCGGATTATAGATGATTTAGTTATCCGGGTAGACAGACGATTTCGCTGCTCGGGTGAGTGGCAATCGGCTAACAGGTTTTCCACGATGATGATGCTCGGCTGTTGGCGATTTCGCTGTCCTGATTATAATCGAGAATTGTGGTGCTCGGGTTATAGATGATTTCGCTACCTAGGTTATAATTGGGAGCTCTGGTGAATGGCGTTCGGCTAACAGGTGTTCCAAGATAATGATGCTCTGCTGGTATATAATTTCGCTGCCCGTTTTATAATCAGGAGCTACGGTCAACGACTAACTTGACGTTACAACTCTAGGATTCGGACACTCAAGTTAATGAGAGCCAGACAAAAAATTATATTCAAAGCTAATGATTTTTGTTAGGCGGAGGATAGTAAATAATTCTAAAAATCACTGTGCCATTTAGATAAGTCTTCTGCAGTGCCAAGCCTGATCAGCCAACCAAAACGAAAACTCACCATAGCCAAGTTAATGAGAATTATTTCTCATGCATTGTTATGATGATATTCTGTATTGCTCGAAGAGTGGGAGTTTTATGTGGAGTTTATTCATTACTCTTTTGTTTTGTATTAGACCGCTCCCGAGTCACTCCTGTTTGAAATATTAGAGTCGGTTCGGAATTGCTTAAATTACAGTGAGTGAGAGAGTTTGAAAGAGAGTGTGCTTTAAGAGTGAAATCGAGTGAAAAAACATATTCTTATTTGTGTGTCTAAGAGCTACAAAGTTGCTGTGTGCAGTAAAAGAGGGGGGGGGGGGTGAAGAGGCTGAGGGAGAGGGTCGGAGAGAGAATGATGAAAAATACGCTCCAACTCTAAAATGAACAAAGCATACCCAAAACATAGAGTTTTGCTCGATTTGTTTTTTTTTTTCTACTCCCAAGAGTGCTCCCGCTCGACTTCGAACGAATTTCACTCTATTTACAGTTTTTCGGAGCCTTGATATTTTGATATAAAAAAAAAATGAAAGACCATCTGGTCGTCAAGAAAAATATGATAGAATCGTTCAAATGTCATCATGCCTATCATTTATGAGAATAGGTGTTCCGCCCTTTATGGGGACATATTCTTGTCTCCTAGAAGGAGGCCGTTCGGATTCTGTAAGAAACTTTTCGTTTTAGCCCTCTTACCATAATCCTCAATTGACAGTTTGAAATCCAAGATAGCCGGACACTGTGCTTGTAATACCAATTTTCCACTATGACCATATTTTTCTTTCTTGTGGTTTGTAAAAAGTTAGCTTGCAACATTTTTAAGATTTTATCATTTTAAAGTTTAAATTCTTCATATCTTTTAAAATTATTACCACATAAATATTAAATAATATTGCATTTAATATTTGTTTTTTCTTGCTTTCATTTTTTTGTTTCAGGAACTTTACTCATGGGACAAAGGAAATTCTCTGACATATCCCATACGTTACAATGAAGAGATAATACGGAATGATCCTGCATAAATTACGGATGCACACAGACACACACACATGAAGACAATGGCACACTTAAACAATCACAAAGACATGACTAAAAGAATGAACGAACGAATGAATGGATAAATGCAGAGATATATATTTCAATGGAAAACTTTTACCACAGCAACGTCGAGGCAGAGAGTGTATATATATTCACACACACACAAAGAAGCACATCACACACATATGGTAGACACAGGAACTCATACACACACATACACTTTTTGCAACATATACTTATAAAGATAGACATTAGAACTTATACTAGTCACCAATACAACTCATGTTGAATGACATGACACTTTCTGATGAGAAATCCTTGGTTTTTTTACGAGTAGCACACAAACACAAACAAAAGGAAGCCAAAAAGGAACTGTAAAAAGTATTGAATGTAAGAACAACAATAATCAAACTTGATAGAAAACTAAGAAGAAAAACAAAAAATAAACGAAAAAAAATTAAAAAGATAAATAAATTGCTGGTAATGCTAAATAAGGATATTTTGCAATAAAACTAAGTCATACAAATAATAAATTATGTCAATGCAGCAAAATTTGCAGCCTCTGTTGGCAGCAGGAGATGGGACATGCATATCTCCAACATATATGTTAATTACTTTATTATACGCTCAGCCATATGACTAGAGAGGGTATACGTCACTTGATACAGCCCAAACATGCCTCATCGAAATAGCGCTTTTAGTTCCTGGGTCTCTTTGGACCAAATCCATTTAAGGATATTTGGAGTTGATCCAGCGATGTCCGTGCGTCTGTTTTGGTTCAAACTTGGTACATCGTAATATTATTGTCAAACTTAGATCGAGTTCGAAGATGGGCAATATCGGTCCAATCCTTCTGGTACCATCTCCACAAAAGGTCGAAAATTTTATACTATCAGCAATATGGCATTTGATACGGCCAAAACGTGCCTCATTGAAATTATGATTTTAGACCCTAAGTCTTTTTGAACCAAATCCGTTCCAGGACATTTTGAGCCGATCTTGCGATAGCCATCCGCCCGTCCGTCTGTCTGGCTGGTGCACACGATAACTCTCAAAGGGAGTATCCGATTTGGTCCAGACTACATACATCGTAACATTATTATCGAACTTAAATCGAGTTCAGAGATATGCAAAATCGGTCCACTCTTTCTGGCAGCTCCCACCACAGGGCGAAATTAAAAAAAAATAATAATAAATATTTTATTGCACATAAAAGGAAAATATAATCTGATGTTGATCCAACTTTGCAAATCCTAATATTTGCATTAATGCGAAAATGAACAATGTCGGTTCAACCTATAAATTACCTCCTACACAAAGGGCCAAAGAAATATTTCACTGCACAGAAAGGGAAAGTATAATCTGATGTTGCTCCAACTTTGTAAATCCTTTGCATATCCTAATCAGGTGCGAAAATGGACAATATCGGTCCACTTCGTCAAGTACCTCCCCCACAAAGTGTACTTTTTTAAATAATTATTACTCTTATAAAACGTAATGTAAGAGTTCGATTGTCTTCAAATTACATACATCACAATATTTACGTCGGTCTACTTTTGGTCTTTGTAGGGGAAGCAAAGGTTCAAAATTTTTAATATTCATGAATTTCATAAAACGCGAAATTAACATCAGATTCCATTCGGACTTGGCACATCTCAATATTTCCATCAACACAAGATCTGTTATAAAGATGGTAGAGATTGGATCTTTCCTTCTGGTGTCTCTCCCACAAGGGGTCTAAATTATGAATCACTAAAATCAGCATAAAATCAAAAATGGACATTCGGTTCTCTGCAAATCGTACACATCCCATTATTTTTAATAAAACAAGAGATGTTATAAAGATGGTAGAGATCGGATCATTCCTTCTAGTACCTCCCCTACAAAGTGCCAAAAATTTTGAATATCCATGAAGCTCATGAAACGCTAAATTAATATCCGATTCCATTCAGGCGTGGTACATCTCAATATTTCCATCAACTCAAGATCTCTTGCAAATATGGTAGAGATCGGATCATTCCCTCCGTTGCTACCCCACAAGGGGTCAAAGTTTTGAATAATAAAAACGATATAAAATCCAAAATAAGCATCCGGTTCTTTTCATATTTATAATATCTACTAACACAGGATCTGAGTGTAAAGATAGAATATGTATATCGGTCCACTACTTCTGGTACCTCCACCACGAAGGGTCAAAATTTGGAATATCCAAGAAGATCATAAAATGCGAAATTAACCTCCAATTCCATTCAGACTTGGCATATCTCAATATTTGTATCAACATTAGATCTGTTATAAAGATGTCAGAGACCTGAGCACTTCTTCTGGTACCTCCCCACAAAGGGTCAAAGTTTTAAATAACCAAAACGATTATAAAATCCGAAATAAGCATGCGGTCATCTTCATATTTCACAAATCCCATCATTTCTACTAAAACAAGATTTGTTGTGAATATGGAATTTATTGTTCTATGGTTTAAAATTTTGAATATCCGTGAAACTCATTAAATTTTAAATTTTCTTGTAATTTTTCTTAAACAATATTTTTATCTGTATTAGATGAAGTATGACAAGCAAATAAGCTTGAAATTCGGTCGGACCGAATTTTGAATACCCTCAATCATTTGGATCGAATTAGGCAATTTTCAAAAAAAAAAAAAAATAAATAAATAAATTTCGTTAAAAATTCTTTTAAAATCTTAAAAATACCGAATATAGTCTTTATATTAGGGTCTATACGACTAAGTGGACCTGCATAGGCAACTTCTGCCATAAGCCATTACAATAGTCAAATGCGAAACATGAAAAAAAAAAATCGGTGAATAATGTCGCCAAAATCATTAAAATACCGAATATCGGGAGGTACCGTTTTATGATGGCTATACGAAGACATAGACCTACACAGACAATTTTCTGCATAGGCTGTAGTATCCATTACGAACTTGAAATACCAAATTTGAAACAATTCCGGTGAATAATATCGCTAGAATCATCAAAATACCGAATATCGCGAGGTACCGTTATATGGGAGCTATACGAAGACATGAAACTGCACAGACAATTTTCTATCATAGACTGTAGTATTCTTTACGAACTTCAGATACCATATTTAAAACAATTCCGTTGAATAATATCGCTAGAATCATCAAAATACCGAATACCGTGAGGTGCCGTTATATGGGGGCTATACGAAGACGTGGACCTGCACAGACAATTTTCTGTCATAGACTGTAGCAATAATTACGAATTTCAAATACCAAATTTGAAACATTTCCGATGAATAATGTCGCTTAAATCAACAAAATACGGATAATAGGGAGGTACCATTATATGGGTGCTATACCAAAACATGGACCCACATGGCCCATTTTCAATACCAAAAGTCCTGCAGACATAATATACATTTGAGTAAAAATTGATAAACCTACTTGATTTCGTTCGGAAGCTAGAGTGATTTCTACAGACGGGTGAACTGACGGACCAAAACGTGGACATACATGACCCATTTTCGATACCAAAAGTCCTGCAGACATAATATGCACTTGAGTAAAAATTAATCAACCTACTTCATTTCGTTCGGAAGCTAGAGTGATTTCCACAGACGGACGGTCATCGCTAAATATATCTTATATATTTCGAGGTGTTACGGTGTTATGTTATGACAAACTAAATATATTCTCCATTCTATTCTTCCATTCTCCATTTTCTAAAAATTATCATATATCTCATATAAAGTGAAGGAAGTAGTTGGTATAGTCCAAACCTGATACGTCGCAATATTTATATGATATTTATTTAGGTCCAATACGAAATGGACAATATTGGCCCATTCCTTCAGAATTTACTCCTTAGAGGGTCAACGATATTAATAATCCTAACAAAAGTCAACATATATTTAAATAGTCGAAAATTGGCTGAGGGTATACATCTGTCGGGAAAACTGACTAAAACTCTTTAACTTCTTTTAATTTTTGATATTAGGTCGTGGTCTCCTGAAAGTATGCAACAATTTGATCCAAACTACTGCAAAACATACATTTATATACATACAAACATACACACACATGCATTTGTAGCTAAAATATTATATTTTTTACAAGAAAAAAATATAAAAAAATCCGCAATTTTTATATAACAAAAAAAAAAAATAATAATAATAAATGAATAAAAAATAAATAAAAAATAAATATATGTAACATTTAAAAAAAATCTTAAAAGAAGCCATTTGTATAGGAAATTAAGAACATCCAAAAACATACAGACAGAAACACTCACATAGCAGCATACACCTTTTTTACACAAATGCCTAGAGTAATTCATAGAAATTTGTTTATAATTATATTGGGATTAAGAACACATACACAACACACCCTCACACTTTCATTCTTAAATGCAGACTCTTCGAAAAGAATTAAATAACATTTTCCTCCCACCCAATGAAATAGCTTGTCATCGATTGGACGGGGGAGGGTGTATCATTCATTTACATTTGAACTTACGCGTGCCATCAAAAGCCATACTCAAATGAAAAAAAAAAAAAAATAAAAGTCGGTGGGACTGGAAACAAATCGTTTGAATAATTTTTTAATTACTTGGCATAATTAGTGCATAATTATGCAGAAAATTTTTGTCCTATGGCATAATTCGCAATCGAATGGAAGCAAGGAAGGACAAACAGCAGAGCGACAATACAATCTCAACATAAATAATAATTTTATTTTTTTTTTTTTAATTTTCAATGAACCAGTGTGTGTGTGCTGTGTTGTGTTGTAAAATCGAAATTATTATTTGTAATTATCTTAAAATTGTTAAAATTTTTATGTAATTATATATCAGTTTTGTACCGAAAATAAATATTTTAATTGCAAATATAAAATAAAAATTAATTATTTATGTAAAGCAAAAAATATTGAAATTTTGTTTTATTACTCTGGGGAAATAGAAGGGAGGGGGATACGAGGAAAATGTAAATTTTAGACAGGTACTATGTATGAGTCTTCTATAGAAAGAGGAGCTTTCATAGGGACTCTATATAGAAGAGCATTTTTATATCTGTTTCATATACTTCAATATGTATTATGTAACTTAGTATTTTAGCCCCTATTTAAAAATATACACCAAATAAGCAAAGGCTATTGTCGGCGGGGCTGACCATGTGATACAATATGTAAGAAGCCCTCTGACGTCCAAATCCATTTTGAAATATTTCGCTTTTGCAATTTTGTCACGAAGCACTGCCAGATATTACCCTTAGCATTATGACCAGGAACATTTGCCCAATATTCACGCACTCCGTCGTACTGTTAGTTGTTGTGGTCCATTTTATAGCTAAATATAATTCAATTGTCATCCAAAATGCTAGAATTCTTCAACGAACTTAACTCCCTTCTCACGCGTGTCGATTGGCTTTAATTGTGTGATAAGGAAATGTTGTATGTTTTCGGTTCATTTGAATCCCTAAATATTTTGCAATCA